TTTTCTCAACCAGGTATCTCCTACTAGCGGGGAATCGCGCAGCCGGGACAAGCTTTAAGCTCCCGAATGGTCTCCGGACGTATTGTAGTCCAGACATATTCTGTGATCCTGGAATCGTGTTATGCTGTTTCTTCTGGACGGTTCAATTGAAAGAATCCGAGCCATCAGAAACGTTTAATTTGTGTAACTGTCCTTCAGGGCTAGACGCATTCCCGCCTGCCAATCTAGACAAATGCGGTGTCATTCGTCGCGGCTCGGTCCTCTGGCGGGTAACTGATTGTTTTCGGATCCATCCGGACGATTCTAACACATTTCTCCAAAAAGTCTGTTTTCATGTGTTTAGCACTGATCTAGCGGTGGCGAAGGGGGATGAATGACAAGTCGCTAGATATTCTATCGCCCAGTCGCCACTGTCTACAGTATGAGGTGCAGGGCTTGGGTCACTCGGAAGGAAAGTGTGCATCGTCGGTTTTGACATCCCCACAATATTATCGTTTTACAAAATAGTCTTATGTGTAGCATATAATATATTGCTAATGGGATAATCTCTTTTTTTGTAAGATAATTTCAACAACCAAATTTTACTCCAATATAAATCTATGAGAATGGAACGTTATGTTTTAGAATAGAAGTTTACAAATGTAAAAAAAAATAATTTAATAAACCGCCTGATAATACTCTCTGATAATATATTCTTCAGAACAATTCTTCAGGGACCGAATAAGGTTCTCGACTAACATATTCTAGGTTGGGAAGTGGCTGTAAGCAGAAAGAATATCCGACAAGTGTTGCGATCACACTTGTTTATTATTATTATTATTATTTAATTTTACTTCTCAATATATTATTCTTTACTTCCCACGCCCGAGCATGAAAGAACCAGACAACTGCATGTTTAAAGTTTCTTTATATTTACAACTTGCGTAGTACAAATTTTCACACATGAAAATATTTTTAAAGCAGTTTAAGTCGTCGACGACGCCACATTCAGCTAGTTGAAAGTACTGCACCATTTCTGTATGTCATAAGCCCCACAACTACGTTTGCTTTCTTGATTGACGCTGACCCAAGACCCACGATTAACAGGAATAAAATGCTTCAATTCGTTGTCCTGCATAACAATACTAACACATGTTATTCTACAGACACGGCTATGCGAATAACAAGCTTATAATGCTTGGAACGGACGGAATACATGGACTTATGATAGGACAAACTACCTACAATTAAAATAAACGATTAAAACATCACCAACTTCGCATTTTCTAAATAAATAAATCATTTCGAGGCTTATGTAATACGGACTCTTGAGGTTATTTACTTCCATTATTCGTGGACTACAGAAGTCTTCTTAACAAATGCAAAACGCAGCAATGGAAAGCGGTTTCAACTTAACCGCAAGATTGTCATCTGCAACGCTACTTTGCCCGAGCGGGGAGGGAGTCAAGCCGTATTTCCGGCGACGTTCTTTGTCGTTTGAAATGCCCTCGCGACCGACTGCGCGGCAGCAACTTGCTTCCGACGGAAAAGCGAATTTCAACGCAGGACCTATTATTCTTTTCGTTTTCCTAACGCGAGAAGAGATTCGACTTAGGATCGTAAGAGACTCCACTTCGGACAGATATGAGGAGGGCGTAATAGTTTATTAGAGTAATCAGGAATGTGGAGCCGGGCCGCATACTTCATGCATTATCCCGCCGACGTCAGACCACTTTTCTGATCCTTGTGCAGCCAGAACTTCGCAAATGTGCCCTAATTTAAATTATTTTCCCTAGCTTTACAGTGTATAATGAGAAATGTAATGTTAATAAATGGAAAAGTGCTGCAACACTAGCGTACACCGCACACATTAAAAAAATGGATTTTCCTATTTGATCTGGCAAAATGTGGAGCCCTGAGGATTTAAAATGAACCTTTTAATTTTCGAGGTTCCTTTTAATCTTGTTCTACTTTTCTATCATTTCACAAACACTTCTCCAATTTTCCCCTTTAGATGATCTTAATAGAGGACAATGAACTTTGAGTACGACAAGAAGTCCGGTTTTCATTAAAACGTCTTAATATTCTTTTCTCTAGTATCCGCCTTGCTTAGTTGCAGATCCCGGAAGGCCTTCCCGCCGACATATGCCGGATATGACAGCGTGTGTTGCGACCCGACGTGCTCCAGAGTCCGGTTTGGCGAAGATAATGGGATGATGACGATGGATGAATGGGAATGGAAGATAGCGCGTGGATTGTGGCGCGTACCAGGTGAAATTCCGGCATTCGCCTAGAAGGGCTCCGGCAGGGTGACCAGCTATTTTGATTCCGCGAATTCAAGGTTGATGTTTTATTCGGGTACTTTCATTTCGTTTTTCCAAGTGTGAAGAATATAAATTTCCCAGTCTATTTCGGTCATTACAACACATTTTTGTTTCTCACTTAACCATACTATTATTATTGTATGTTACTCGCGCACCTTTTTTGGAACCGTATACTAGAATGTACGAATTTTGTACAAAGATAAGCTTTGGAAAACAATCTCGCTTTTTAAAAATAATTCTACGAAACATATGTTATTAATAAATACTCAGACTCCACTTAAAGTGTTTAAGAAAGTATCTTTTTAGCTGGAATGTCGATCTCGGGACGCGAGGCATTTTAAGGCATCATATTCCTTACATCGATTTCCCCCCAACCGTCAGTCCTACGGCGAACAAACGTTTTTAACAAATAGGAATAATTTTCTAAAATGAATATTCTGCTTCTTACGCACGAGTCCTCGCGAATTTTGGGGATAACTATATCTGACGAGCATATTCTAGTTTCAAGATTTAAAAAAAAATGCTGTTTGTTTGATTAATTGCTAGGGAATAAAGAAAATGCGCTTTATATCATTAGATTTCCATTTTCGATAGAACTTTTGAATTTTTGAAATGTATCTTCAAATTTGCTTGAAGCATCACGGAGTTCTTAATTTTCGGAATTTTCTTCATAACATAATCGATTTTGCAATACAAGAATTTCAAAAGATGCTCAGTAATAATACGAGGGTCTGTCAGAAAGTAATGCCAACTTATTTTTTTCTCCGAAAATATTTACTGGAATAACTTGAAATTTGTACACAATATTAATACACGGTTATTCTATTGGCTCTATTTTTCCACATACTTTCTATCGAGCTTAACAGCCTTGCGGCAGCGTGAAACAAGGGCGTGCAAGCCTTGCCGGTACCTAGTATCTTCCTGACGGCGTTGCCTTTCTTTCACTTCGGGTCAGCTTCAATTTTTCCTCCGCCAATTGCGTTTTTTAATGATCCAACGGGGTGGAAAATGGCGGGGCCTAAATATGGACTGTACGGTGGATGGGGAAGTACAATCCATTTTCGTCGGTGCTCATCATGCTGCAACACTTCTTTGTAGGAGTATGTTATCGTGAAATTTGTGCAAAATTTTCTGAGATTGAACTCGCGGGAAACGCTTCTTTAGGGCATTTAGAGTGTTGATGTAAGAATTGAATTGATGGTACTGCCGTTGGGCATAACATCAACATGAATTATACCACCAATATCCCAAAAGACAGTGATCGGCGTGACTGGAGTGGACGCTGTGACACGGTGCCCGGAGCGCGGCAAAACATGCAGATGGCGTTCTTCACTCTTCGAAGCTAACTCGTTTCCCCAAACGTCCAACGGCACTCGTGGCCGGTGCCATACAATGCACATGGATGTTCACAACAATTTCTTTCTCCGCAACGAGCAATTCAATTACAGCTTGCTGTTTGCAACCTACGTCGTCTACAGCCGCCACTTTAACAGTTCGTTAAGGAACTGCGATACATAGAAGAGATTTGAAACTTTTCACAGTAATGCAGGAATTACGAAACTTTGAAGGGTTACCAACTATAATTGTCTATCATTATTATTGCATGGAGAAAATGTGGAACATTACTGTCTGACCGACCCTCGTATTTATGATCTTAATAGTTTTCACATCAATTTAAATTAGGTTACGAGAATTAGGGTTTTTTGTTTTCAGAACATAACATTTCTTTTTTATAGGTAGAGTACATTCAAACATTCATTCAAATAATGTTTTAATGAACTTCCCCAGTGGACTTGCATACAATTAATTTATAGTATGTAAAATAATTATTTATATTATCAGGATACTATCATAATTATAATAATGACGAATATAATTAAATTAATTCATAAATATACGCTTTAAGAGTGATCTTACGAAAACTAATCGCTTGCGTAGCTTATCAATTTGTTAATTGCAACCATTAATATAGTAATACGTGGCTAGACAAATAAGACAAAAATCTTAATTGATTTTTCACGTGCCCACAAATAATGATTATGTTGAAAACTACTTAATTAACTATTCTTCAAGAACCTTATGAAATATTTTTTACAATGTTTGAGGAATTACTGAACAGTGTGTGCTGTATACGCCCTTGGGTGAAGATTTACCAGAAATGGTCGATTTGTTAGCGGTATACAATTTAAATTAATAATAATTTTTTCGTGGCCATTTCATACGTTACGAGCCAGTATTCAACTACGTTCTTTAAGTTGGAGTCTCAGTGAAACCAGATTTTAAATTTCGAATTTAGGAGGCATTTATCACAACGAAATATTGATATTCTCATATAGTACAATATGATCGTGGTCATTTTAAAAGAACACATGCAATTTATTTGTTTTTAACATCTAATTACGTCATAGTACAATGAATATATATATATATATATATATATATATATATATAACAATTATTATACAACTAAAACAATTGAACGTAAAATGATATCGAGACGTGTCTCATTTACTGAATACCAGACAAACAATTTCAAATACAATTTTACCTCTTACTTATAATTACCATCACTGATATCGTCACTGAAACCGCCCATAAAAAGTACGTTCTGAATGTGAACTCAACAATTCTAAGTGTACAAGACATTTATATTAGGGGTAAATTTAATATGGTGTGAATATAACATTGCGATCATCTTCAGAACAAGAGGATGAGGAGGATGAGGAGGGAACGGATGAGGAGGATGAGGAGGAACGGATGAGGAGGGAACGGAGGAGGAGGATGAGGAGGGAACAGATGAGGAGGATGAGGAGGGAACGGAGGAGGAGGATGAGGAGGGAACGGAGGAGGAGGATGAGGAGGGAACGGATGAGGAGGATGAGGAGGAGGATGAGGAGGAGGATGAGGAGGAGGAGGATGAGGAGGAGGATGAGGAGGAGGATGAGGAGGAGGATGATGATGAGGATGAGGAGGAGGATGATGAGGAGGATGAGGAGGATGAGGAGGATGAGGATGAGGAGGATGATGATGATGAGGAGGATGAGGAGGATGATGATGATGAGGAGGATGAGGAGGATGATGATGAGGAGGAGGATGAGGAGGAGGATGAGGGAACGGAGGATTCTAAATTTTCTATACTTAACCAATACATAATATATTCTTGGCAATATGATGGAATTTTTGATATCTCAAAACCACAAACTGACTATGCATATCAGTAAATGAAATTGTCATCTTCTATTGTTATGTAGCTTCGCATCCGCAAATTTCAACAATATATATTAATTATACAATATTTTGTTTCTTAGGTAATGTCGTAATGCGCCTGTCAGCTCTTGTACCTTGGCCGCCTAGAATACGTTTTAGTACTTCAAACATATAATCAACTATAGAAATAAACACTTTTCATTCAATATATAATCAACCTTAATCAAGAAGTAGGAGACATATTGCTGAAAATACAAATTTAAAAAACACGCATAAGTCCTATCGCATTCACACATATAAAGTGTATATTTTGGTCATAATTTTCCCGTCAGCAATTCACATTGTAATAGTACCAGAATATGATTACAGATTTATTTTAATCGTCATTGTAGTGTCTCATAATTGCAAGTGCAATATTCGTAACTGAGTTGGTAAGACGTAGGTTACGTTTTGTAATCGGGTAGTCCGTGCTTTTGGCCCAACGGCGTAGAAACGGGAGGCGAGACGTAAAAAGAGTCAATGCGGAGGAAAGATGAGGTTTGTGTTGTTAATGAAAATCAGTTATCTCTTACTCATTTATAACACGATCTTTGAATCGAGTAAAAATCTTTTAAATTAGAAAGGAGATAAATATTTTTGTTTCATGATTGATCATAGGAGCCAACACCCAAAGAAATAAATGACAATGAGAATAATCAAACAATTTACAGAATCAAAGGGGTAGCCCCAATACATTCTACAACATGTAATTAAATTCTGCACAGATTCAGTCAAGGTGCTCAACTTGATAACTGGCCCAGACCATGAGATGATATCCGGGTCAAAGAAAAAGTAATCTGGTTTCAGGTGGAGGTTTAAGAAAGTAAATACCTTTGTTTGCTCCACACGACTTCGAAATTTAGTACGGCAACTCTGTCATATGACAACTTTAATCCTAGTGACTGAAGAATAGAGACTTTAATCTACCTTCAAACGGGTTAAATTTTTCGTGCGATATGTCGGCCGAAACGTCGGCACCTCAGCCTCGACGCGGCGTCATCCATACAGCCCTGATGAAGATTTTAACCTTACCTTTTGTATATGATGGGGTTTTGTTATGCGATTCTTCGGAATTATCTTGCCAGCATAGACAATTCGAGTCGAGAGATCCACCAGTTCATGGACGTGAGCAAATCCACCCTGGAAATAAAATATTTAAATAAAGAGTGCATGTACTGTATCTGAATATACAAATAAAACTAATAAATATATGTGTCAGGGAAAAGAAAAAAGCAGAGTATAACTGAATTTAAAAGTTGTCTTTAATAAAGAGGAACCTTAATTTAATAAATAAATTAGACTATCATAAATGTACACGATAATAATTATTACAATACTGTTATAATATCATAATATTGTTATATTATATTATTAGTGACACGTCCAATACAACTGACGAATTGAGGAAAACCTCGTTTTAAGAGATTGACACATTCAACCCTATGACAGACGTTTAAACGAGCTCTCCAAATTATGTAGCAAGAAAATCACCTTTAGGAACAACTTCAAAACAAAGTTTCCTTCAATTTTTTGATGTACCAGTTATTCTGCTACTTATTTCTATGAAGCTAATAAAACTAGGAGTCAACCAAGAGGAAACATTCTCAAAATTTCAACGACAGTTTGGACAGTTTCTTAAAGATCTATTTCCTTTCGTTCTGTATGCGTCAACTGACTCGCGCTTCGTTGTTCACAGGATGAATTCAGATTTTTAATATTGCTTACTAAAATCAATCCAAACGAGGGACAGCAACGAAATAAAATTGAATTACATTGCTATCTTCTCATTTCTTTTCATCTTCTCAAAAGACGAAGAAGGAAAAAAAGAAGAAGAAGAAGAAGAAGGAAAAAAAGAAAAAAAAAGAAGAAGAAGGAAAAAAAGAAAAAAAAGAAGAAGAAGAAGAAGGAAAAAAAGAAAAAAAAAGAAGAAGAAGAAGGGAAAAAAGGAAAAAAAGAAGAAGAAGAAGAAGAAGAAGGAAAAAAAGGAAAAAAAGAAGAAGAAGAAGAAGAAGAAGGAAAAAAAGGAAAAAAAGAAAAAGAAGAAGAAGAAGAAGGAAAAAAAGGAGAAGAAGAAGAAGAAGGAAAAAAAGGAGAAGAAGAAGAAGAAGGAAAAAAAGGAAAAAAAGAAGAAGAAGGAAAAAAAGGAAAAAAAGAAGAAGAAGGAAAAAAAGAAGAAGAAGAAGGAAAAAAAGAAGAAGAAGAAGGAAAAAAGAAGAAGAAGAAGGAAAAAAAGAAGAAGAAGAAGGAAAAAAAGAAGAAGAGGAAGGAAAAAAAGAAGAAGAGGAAGGAAAAAAAGAAGAAGAAGGAAAAAAGAAGAAGAAGAAGGAAAAAAAGAAGAAGAAGGAAAAAAGAAGAAGAAGAAGGAAAAAAAGAAAAAGAATGAGAAAGGAAGAAAAGAAGAAGAAGGAAAAAAAGAAAAAGAATGAGAAAGGAAGAAAAGAAAGGAAAAGAATGAGAAAGGAAGAAAAGAAAGAAAAAGAATGAGAAAGGAAGAAAAGAAAGAAAAAGAATGAGAAAGGAAGAAAAAAAAGAAAAAGAATGAGCAAGAAAGAAAATAAAGAAAAAGAATGAGCAAGGAAGAAAATAAAGAAAAAGAATGAGAAAGGAAGAAAATAAAGAAAAAGAATGAGCAAGGAAGAAAATAAAGAAAAAGAATGAGAAAGGAAGAAAAGAAAGAAAAAGAATGAGCAAGGAAGAAAATAAAGAAAAAAAGAAGAAAAAAAGCTGATGGCGCTTCTGAGACGAATCCAGAATCCAGAAATACGTGGAATAAACAATATTAAATCTTTTTCAAACAAGTTAGTTCATCGATGGGCAATCACAGAACACCTCAATAATTTTATATGCTTCAAGTATTTGGCCTCAAAACACAAAACTTTGCTTCCACCGCTACATTCGCACGGGATTCGTGACACAAAAATATGATTAAAGGGATCAATCACAAAAAAATTGGCGTACCTTTCGGGAACACGCCTTTCACCACTTTTCCACATCTTTGCCCAAAGAATACAGGGTTGCTCATGGTACCATTTTGTCGGCAAAACCTTTTCCTTTTTTATTCAATTATTCCACAGAAAAATCGTTTTGTGAGTTTGTTACAGAAAATAGTTTTACAACAGGTAGCTATCCACTTGTTCTTCTGTAAACAACATTAGCGCCTCAGCGGTTCACATGATATTCTTCGGTTGCTGATGTCGCGACTCCTCAATTTCGAAACGGATATTTTAATTTTGGGGAGTACTATTCACGACGCCCACTACTAAACCATATCGAAACTTTCTCAAAAATGGATCCGAATTGTTTCTTTCAAATTTTTGTTTGTATATAGCAAAATATACATATATGAACTGCACATGAGAGATTTTACAGAAAATCTGACAATTTCTGGAAATTACAAAAAACTTTTTTTTCAGAGTATTCCTACAATTACATTATTGAAGATAGAGATTTTTTCTTAATGAAATCTGTTCTTAATTAGATCTTGAAATAATATCATGTACAGTTTGTTGAATATATAAATAGTTTTGTCGTAATTTTGATTGAAATAGTGACAATTAAAAATAAGTTAACATTTTCTTTCTTTTTATCTCGAAGAGAGCAACGTTCGCTGAATATACTATTAACAGAAGTTGGTTTGTCATTAAACCACTGAAAGTTCAATACCTGCAAAAATTTAACTTTCCGTTTGATGCGTTGCGAGCATTGTTTGAACGTCATCAGCGAGGTGGCCTAGTAGATTAGTTCATTGCAGGCGAAACTAAAGTGTGAGAGTTCGAATGAATGCCCGGGTAAGTAGTTTTGCCGGTTCAACTAGTAGTATAATACTTACTACATATTATGACTGGCGAACATGCCGGAACGGCGTTCCGGTATCTCAAGAACAAATCTTGAAATCGATTTTCCGTAGCATTACATACCTTTCTCTATACTATGTATATACGTATGTATACGAGAAAGTAAAAACTATAAACTATCATAAAAAATGTAACTTTTTTCTTAATATCATAATTACATTTAGATAGAGGCAGTGTCACTAATTGTTATTAAGTACGATTTATAATTATTACGTTATATTATAAATAAATAATTTACTATTATGGGTAGCGTAGCCTTAAACTCTATAAATCAAGCATTGCATATTATTATTACATAACCATAACAAATAATGCGGAAAATTGTGATGTAACAATTAATTTTTTATTGAAATTATCGTCTTAAACAGCTAAAACTGTGTGTTAACCTTAACTTTATTTCGAGCATTCGGTTTTCATTTCTGGCAATTATTCCAGTGAAAACTATAGAATATATAGAATTTCCATTTCTGCGAATAAATACTGAAAGTGAATACGAGGCCTTAGATGAGATGGAGGCATCAATTTCATACAGTACAGGTATTTGAAATACTTTGCTACTGTATGCACGACTGAGCGTGTATAAGGTTCGTCCTTTATTCACCCCATCTGGAAAATGATGTCACAGTGAAACTTTTTGCATGATGACATCACAGTGCAAAACACTTTTGACCGACCTCATAGCCCTTTCTCACCATAGATCACATTTCCATTGAAAACACGATGCAGTTACAGAGCAGGAGATCATATTGAACAATAACGCTTTACTTCCTAACAGTCACAAGTATCCACCCCATGGTCTCTATTACACAATCATTGTCGAAGATGGCGCTGTGTTTCCGAGAAATCATGAACTAAAGATAAAACAAACCATGTTTCCTAATATAAGAATTTGAATATGATCATAGAAAAAATGTTCACATTTTGTGAGCGAATGATTGTTTCTTGCAAGACCTCTATTGCTCTTTTGCATCGACCTATCGATCTCGGCATAAAAACAATCTCGATCAAGCAAATAATTTCTCGCACTTAAAATTTAAATAATTTTAATTTAAACAAACCGTCAAATACGGCCTGAAGCTTAATACTAATTGGTCATCAAGTATTCGATGGCAACAAGTGTTCTACAGAATTCCGAGAAGGATCTGACTTTCACGGTTGTTGTTGGTCGTTTTTATTTTTACTTTTTTATATTACGGAAACCAATATTTGGTTATTATATCCAAGTCCATATCTTGATAATCCAATCGAAATAAACTAATGGACAATAAGGAATAATCACACTTTTTTTGTAATTAAGATCAACAGTCTCCCAAGTCAAAATTAGTAATTTCTGTTTCAAAATTTCCGTAATATCTCCATCCTTGGCCGTCATTTACAACTTCTTGAAAGTAAAGAGGAAAGCTTATACATTATTTTCCAGATTTCTGTTCCCTATGGTCGGGTCACAAATTTAATAACTCGGAAAAATCTATTACTGTTATTAGTACTGGATCACATTGATTGAATTTAGGCGTTCTTTACACTGCCAAGAATACAGTCTAATCAATATATACGGTAATACGGCATTGTCAACTGTATATAATCCATTACTCTTCATTAATACCTCCTCGTTCCTAGTTAGCAATCTCATCTAGACTTTTCCAACCCATTTTTCGCGCTAGGCAACAGCGCCAGCCGAGGTTATCAGAAGCCAATGGTCTCTTTTCTGTCCATTACCCGGCGAACATCGTCGTAAACTAAACATGACAACTGCAGAAAGTGCGAAAGAAGGGATGTGTAGATTTTGAATTTTTTCGTCTGAGATTTAATCATAAATATGACCATGCCATTCGTTTTATAATTCCAGCTCTGTTGATTTTAACGACTTCTCGACAAAAATAAATCAAACAAATCAAAATATTCTAGTAGCGGTTTGTTAGGGAAGGGAAGAATGTATTCATATTTTCATTTTTATATAATTACCAAACAAAATATTTGCTCTGGAAAAAAGAGTAGAAAGAATTATTTCTGTTTCCTATGACGAATTTCTCGCCTTACAAATTCTTCGTAAGAAATAGTTATGTAATCGGGTGCCAAAAAGCGCTGAATTTTCCGGAATTTTCACTCAAGAACTAAAGAGAACACATTTCGAATACTTTTGTGCAAGTTTCTCGTGTATGTTTGGCCAGTAACTAGTTCATAGTAAGGTATTAAAAGTTGATAAACTCAAATTCTTGCGACAGGACGCTGATAAGAACCACCGAATTTGTAGTTAATGGAACTTCGTGATTTCTACATGATTAAGTGTAGAACTTGGCTAATCTCTGTCAATACTGCTTTGGCGAAGGTCGTCCACTCGAAAGACATGACAACAAAGTGATACCTTCCGAAATAATAGATGTGGTTAGTTCAGTGTAACCGTTGGTGAAACTATGTTCGTAACATTGGTCGGTACGAGATCGAATCGCTTGTGTGTGCATTGATGGCTAGTTGAGAGCACACGCAAAAGAATGTATGGGAGCTTTGCTTCAAACTATGGAGCAGCAAGCAGTGGAAATTGCAGTTTTGCGTGGCAGAACGCTCCTCAGTGTCATGCGGAGCAACGAGGGGCATGGGGTGATAGTGCGTTGCCTTATCGTAGAGTTCCGCATTGGGCGGAGGCCCCCGTCGCAACAGCTGACTCGCAGCCCAACGAACAGCAACGCAGATGTGCAGCGCAGAGCGCAATGTGGTACCAAACGCCATCCTTGTTGTTGACTAAAATAAGCAAAAACCTTCAGAGGTAATTGGGAAGAGTATTAGCGATGGATAATGTAATTTGTTTCTTGTCGTCCCTCAAAAAAACGTTTTCTGTTTAAGCATCTTTCCATTTTCTCTACTTGGCGGCTTCTGCACCAAACACGAATTTGTTACGATCATGGCGCAGTACATTTCAAAAACCAATCGCATGTAGTGGATTTATATCCCTGCCTCTGTATAGGCTGATTCCGTTCCACATCTTATGGAATGGATATTCTGTCAATGGATTTAACACAAGTCATTCAATATTTACATTAAATACGTTATAGCTATATACCTGCATCTAAAAATACATGTTAAATTCCGCAAAATGAGACATTTTTAATAAAAAAAGCGACACAGATTTTGGAAGCAGTGTATTTCCTTCAGCATCGCCTTGTGTTGCGACAAGTTAAAGTAAAAACCATGCAGATGGGATTTTGAGAATAGAAATATATTTATGGTTGAAGTAATTGTTCTAATGTAATACATTTTCTTTGGATTTGATCAACTTCGTCAAAATCAATTACTAAAATAAAGTATAAACTTTATTCCAAACTATCAACTAGCTACGAAATTTCTTGGGGTTTTTTACAGAAATGTTTTCAATAGTGGGGAACACTGCAGAAGCAAAATAGGTCGGAGAGGTTAAGAGTCCCAAACAACAGTAGCTCGTCTTGTCCGCGGTTAGCGCGTAATTCAACTTTATAAAAGAGTTTTCCTCATGGTGAAAATTGTCACTAGGACGTAAAAATGCAGAAATACATACCTATCATTTACACTAATTTTTTTAATAATTATACCACCAAACTCAGTTGCAAAATAACTCTTCACATTTCTAATGTCCCGGAGATAGCTGGTTAAAAACGCCTGTGTCTAAGGTCAAACCAACTGAAGCTACTCTTGTATCACATGGAAAATATAATTGTTTGAAACATGATCGAAGAGCCGAGAGAGCTCGCAGAATTGGCAACACTACTTACAAAAGAGAAATAGTACCTTATGCCAAATTGTATTGGAAATTTTCCGTACTGAAATCACGACTGGCGGTGTACGCGGGGAAGAAGAATCCGAACCACTCGACGCCTCCCGCCTTGCTTCTGGTGCGCCGGGCTCAGGGGCCGTCCATAAATTACATAAGGCCAATTTGAAGTATTTTTAATACCCCTCTCCCCTCGTAGCACATATGTACAGCGCGCTTTAAACTGACCTAAATAATTACGTAATGCATGTGACACCCCCGTTTACAGAGAGTAAAAACATGATTAAAAAACATTTGCATTAATTTCGTTTATTTGATATTTTAAAATTTATGATAAAGTTAGAATTAGTTGGGGATGCAGACTGCACCTAATAAGATAGGACACAATTTTAGAAGGAAGGAAGGAAGGAAGTAAGGAAGCACCCGAGACACGCTCTGACCACAAGTCTTCCACCCCCGGTAGTGGATGATGCATGGGCGAGGAAAATTATGTCAATTTAATTGGATTCTAGATTATACTTGATATAAGTATTGAATATTTTCTTTGTAAACTAACACATTCAATCAATATATCATTGATGAAAAATATTTCCATTTCTTGTAACAATTACGTAATAATTTCTTAAATTTAATTATAATTTCAATGTAATTTGTTAATATCTTAATATTTGAGTATGCGACTGGATAAAATTAATTATTTCAGCATGTGTTGAAAATTAAACATTAACGTCACGTACCACTAAGCTAACATTCCCTACCACTATGTGATGCAGTGTAGCCCTGCCTCAAACCTCTCCCCAATTTTTTAGCATTACGTAACGTGGACGACCACTTACCACCGCCCGCATCACATTTCTTCCATAACTTAACGCAGTGCAACTATAGCGCGAGAGTCTACAGCGTAGGACATTTGAATGACACGCCGGGAAATAGCACAGAAATCGAGTTTTCGACAAAACGGAAATTTTGGAGGGAGTATTGACTGCACCAATGACCTTCAAATGAAGGGCTTGGAGCAAAAAGAATGCACGAAATGTGGTATTGAGAAAATTGAGCTCTAAGTGGAAAGTAAGTCAAAATCTACGGAAGACATTTACTTTGCAATGCCAGAAAGCAGGAACTGTGTAAGCAATTTGAATAGTTTTTGAAAACGAAATAAAATGGAATTTTAACTTTACACTCAATTTTGACAAAAATGCACTTATACCTTATGTGTTCTGGATCACTCAAATAAGATCCTATAAAATTGACATCAAATAAACTTTTTCCAATAAGATTTTATTTTCTCCTAAATGGCATCTCCTTCGTTTCTGATTTCAGAACGCAACACTTTCAAATAGCAAAAGCTAAATTATTATTTCACTTTATTTATAGTACGAGTCGTAAATCTTAAGTTTTTCATCTCTTAAAACTTGTAAGCTAAGTACATTATTCTCTTCCTTGTGTATCTCTGTTCCTAAATACCATTCATTATTTCCATGCTCGTTCTAAGTGTTAATCTCCTCTCTGGATGCAGCTGCCCGAGATCTACCGTTTGCGTCGTCTGGTTTCGTTACCAAAGTCATCGAACTATAGGCTGCTGTTTTGTGTGTTTTGCCGCTAGTGAGGCGATTCGGCTTTCGCATCCCGTTGGCACTTCCGAACTCCCTCTTCAAAATCTCATTCCTTTCTTATCCCCTGAGCTCCGTTCTATCGGGAGCAGTCATGGGAATCTCAGCAGTCACGTGCCACTGCCAGTCTGCCGAAGGGCCCTATGCAAATTCCGTCCTGATACAGCACGTCAACATAGCAAGTAACGAGAAGTTGATTGTAAGTATTGACGAAGAGCTCCAAAAGTGCTGATGTTTTCTTTGTATAGATGTTATGTAGTATACAACTAATATGTACTTCCATTAATATCAGTTCCAAGACTGCTACGCGACAATTAAATACAATTTTCATGTGGATAGGTGCGACAAAACTAGTATATAGATGTTAAAAAGATCCCAAAACGTCTACCTTAATACATTTTCACCTTCAGAGCTCTTATGTTAGCCCACGCAACATAGCTCAGTCGACAACACAGATCCTCTACGAATAGTGAATACAGAATCTTCCACTTCGTCCCCCCCCCCCTCACACACACACGGAAGGTAGCACAGTATGCGCTATACGTATAGGGGCCGACGTTGATATTTTTAGGCGGCGACAGTTTTACAACCTCCAAAACACGATTGGCGTGCGCGCTGCCGTAGCACACGGGAATTTTACATCAGGATGTACTGGGACAGGACGGGCGGCCCGCTGCGCCAGGTACAGGCGTTGTTCCCGCGATAACGAAAGCCGATACCTTTTAGAGGCGCGCCCTTTTGGCGCTCGTCGACGCCGGGGCTGGGCATCGCTTGACCACGGGGTCACAGGGCAGCGACGGAGCCTTGTGGCGTGTGCCTTGTTATGTTCATGTACGCATAAAGGGGGAGGGGCGTTTTTGGCAAATCAGCTGACAAGTCTTTGCGGCAGCGAATGTACTTGCATCAAAATAAAACTATACTCTCCGATTAAAACGTAGGGCAAACCGATCAGCTGGGTCACGTTTACCCAACTGTAAGATACAATATCAACATTTTAAGATGAAACGAAGCTCATGATTGCTTAACTGCGTTCCAGCGGATCGCTGTCAATTCGCCCTACATTTTAATCCCAATATAACACCTCTGATATGATAACTCTACCGGCTGGTCATTTGTTCCGTCTTTCTAGCGTCGACGTTCTCTGGCACAGCTTATCATGCGTAAAAACTATAGTTCCGCGTCGTTTTTTAAAATTAATTGCGCGAAATTAATTATGCTTTTTATTGCCCACCGAAAGGCTCACATCCTACTAATCAGACTACTTGCCAGATTCCTATTGTCGGAGAGCTCACGCGGTGTGTTTGGGCGCACTATACGAACATTTCATTCATCTCTCCTTTGTTAGTTGTGGTAGGAATAGGGACATGGGTTTTTATTTTGTTAACAATACTGTAGTTAATTTAACGGTGAAAATAAGTTTTCTATTACCAGTGAAGAAGAAAACTTTAGTTTTCAAATGTTGCTAAACACGCTTTGTTTGTACCATTGTTCATCAATCATGTGTAGTAAATAGATGGGGTAGGGATTCTGGTGCTCAACACGTCCCATACAGCTTTTCCTCTTTTCAGACGATAACCACATGGCACAAGGCGTTCAATTGGTGTTACCTCGAATTCAGTGTGCTGCTATGTGCCATATTGGATGTGATGCTTTCTTAGTCTTTCTGTCATTGTGGTACTCTCCACGTACGCGTAAAAATTTGTATAATTATGTTTACGCATGGAAGTAGACATTTTCACCCAAACGCCAATTGGTAAACACACCATTACCCCCAAAAAACATGGACATTCGTTTCAACTATGTATCAAGTCGTAGGGATGCTGTATTTTCGCCGTCGCTCGCCGGATCAGGCGGTCATTTGCGTTCATCTGCATGACTAATTCCCATTCTTAATTCGCCCAGCTCGGTTGGCAGCGGTGGCGAGAGCGCTCTGCCTGCGGCGCAGGCCGGCGCGGAGCGGCGCAGCTAGGGCAATCGATGCAGGGCGGGCGCAGGGCGAGCAGGAGGTCCCCCGAAGGCAACGCAGCGAGAGAAGCCAGCCACGGGAAGCGACCCCGCTGAGGGCGACGCTGCGCTGCTCGTCTAGGCGCAAGCGCTCGGGCTCGTGCCACGCACTTGACACTTCCAGGCTGCCAGCAAAAACGGCCTACCCCACGGCCCGATTTACGTGCGAGTACTGCGGGGCTCCAAGCACAAAATCGAATAGCACCCCCCCCCCCGAAATAATCTCCCAGATTAACTAAAAATCAGACACTACTTGAAAACACAATTACATACTCCACCACAATCACCGGATATTAATTCAATAGAACACTTGTAGAGTTATTTAGATAAAAAAAGTTGGAGAAAGATATTTCACGAGTAAATGTGAACTC